TTTATTACCATGGTAATCCTTTTAGGAAACTTTTTAAAACTCTCTTATTTGGCAATTATAAGTTATAATTATTTGCATCAATGTTCGTGAACTTTAGAAAAGTACAATCTGAATTATACGGCAAAAAATTTAATTTTTCATATTTTTTATAATTGTGATCAATCACAATTAGAACCAAAAGGATTAAGTTCTTTCATCCAAGACTGTGTGGCTCTCTCCTAATTCACGATTTCATAAATAATGGATAAATAACCTAAGAAGTTGTGCTTTTACGTTGCTTCACTACTCTCCCATGGTAGGGCAAATGATGATCCATTTCACGTTTCAGGGTGCATAAAATTACTAGGGATCGAGAGTTCAAAGGAATGATGAATTAAATCACGGATGCGTAATCGACTTACCTCCACGTGGTGTACCCTGGGCAGCGTATATTCATACGGCCAAAAAGTCAATAAACCACCAGTTGAATTCTGACTTCAAACTCACATGACTCGACTGTACGTCATATTCAATCATTTTCACAGTACTTAGCTTACCTTTTTATCTACCTTTGTGTCTGCCTCATTTACGTCCATGAATCACTCTTCTGTTCTCCCCCCCCCTTCTCGACTTTTTGTTACTTTGATGTGCTCAGGCACCCTCTATGAAACCCGAAATTAACTAAATGGCTAATAAAAGCTATCATACAGCCTGTCATATGATATGAATAAATAAATATTAACAAAAAACAAAGCCTTCTATATGTTTATGTTTATAGGTGTGCGATAGACTTACCCCACGTGGGGCCCCTGGGCAACGTACACTCATGCAACAAAAAAGTGTTCAAATCAAAAATTGACTTCTGGCTTTAAATTACCATCACCCCACTGTATATCAAATCCGATCACTTTCACAGTACTCACCTTACCTTTTCTCTTCCTTTGTGTCTGTCGGTCTCTTTTAGAACTTCTTTCCAGTAAAGATAACTCAACGTTTCAGAATTAAGAAATTTCCTCATTTTTGTATTTAATAGCTAAATGTGGTGCTTTTTAAGCTTTTAATCTAATTCATTACATTTGATTGCAGGAAATACTACAGATTCGTATATCTTCATTGGTTTATCTTCGATCCCACGCCATAGAAATACTCTATTGAGTGATTTTGATTTAATAGTAGGAACATGCTAAATCATTTCATGTTCTCATATGTGTATCTTGCCTTAGTTTAATAAAATTTATTTCTCAATTTATCATTTATCTATTTATCAATTTATTTTATTTTAATTTGAATTAAATTCCTTTTAGTGAATTTGTCAACAAATTACTGCTACTCAAATAGATTCAGTAGACAGGTTTTATATCTCAACTGCTGACTGCTATCCATCATGCATTTATTTCACTAGTATTTTGACACATATGGTCCTCAATCTTTATATAATATGCACGACTACGGAGTAAACGTTATTTTAAGTCCGATAAATATAAATATAAAGTTTAAATGTTTTCTCTTTATTTACTAACCGGAGGTTAATGTGTAACGGATTGCGACAATAACAAGCTCTGACTCAGGCTCAGTAATCTCTATGTCATATTCTCCTAGCTTGGAAAACTACAGAGGAAACAGACATATGACGTGGACTACGTATATTTTGGCAGATGTCGAGTTTGCGGATTTCTTACAAAGTGTGAAAATGATGAGCAAACGTGTGCCTCTGAGTTGTTGTTTGCTTCGTCCAAATTTAAATCTTACACCGAGCTTAGTCATTATATGCAATGAAGGGTTAATTAAACTAGACAAAGACTATTGGTTGCCGGTTGGCTGGATTGTCTCTGTGCTCACGACCACACCGAATCCGCATGAGTACACATGAGGTTCATTGTCCAGCCATGGCAGGATGTGCACTCCACAGATTTTGACCAGAAATTTTATTTCACTATACATAAACGCCATTGCTTTTTCATTTAACGTTTTAGGTGCATACACGAGGAAGGCTGCAAGTAATAACAGGTGAATTTCCGTGAGTCCAATGCTTACGCTATTTTCTTAAAAGTGCATACTTTGAATTTGAACTCCTGAATCCTCATTTTCTAATGAAAAATATCTCCATTTGGCTGAGAAAATTTTCTTAAATCCACTCCTGAAAATAAGTTTATTATTTTCCAAATTTTAAAAAACACCCTGTCATGATCAGTCGAAATATTTTCTGAGTGGAATCTTACCCACTTCTGATCATGACGCTTTCCTTCTTTTGATAAATTTTACCGTAAAATGAAATTCATCCCTATTTTCAATTTCAATTGGAAAAAAAATAAAGGTTTAAAATAAACGGAAAGAAGATGAACCGTTTCTAATTTAATTTAATCTGTTAAACTATTGGGAAAGAAAACAAATCCAGACATGGATGTGATCATTTTATGCGGCAGACCTGTTAGTGCAGACACAACACCGAATGACGAAGCGTGGGTAGATAAAATGACGCATCTGTTTGGCAGTTTGGGTAAGGTCAAGAGTCTTGTCGGCAGATCATCTGTCAGCGTGGATTTATAGGCCGGAAATAAGCATTAAGTCTCGTCCCTTTAAGGACCTGCACATACATAGTATGGGCTTTGCATTTAACGGCGACTACGCAAATAGGCCTTAATAACGCCTTTGCTTTACTTTCTGACAAAACTTCCAGTGTAAAATTGTGCCCCAAACTACCTAAGCCGCTTCAACGATATCAAGAAAACAGAGAGTACTTAAACGAATAGCGTTTGTTAGGGATTATAGCATGCTGTGAACATGATCAGTAAATGAATGATTAACTGAGAATACCTCTGCATTCACAACAGCACTATCTTATTACTCAATCCCGATTTTCTTGAATATTCGCTCTCTCTCTCCCCCGTGACTTCACCTTGGGTGACCTTGATAGCATCCTACGCTCCAACCAACTTTCTATCTTTCCCAAATCTTTTAATAAATTTGACGAAAATTAGCGAAGCCTCGAAAAATCGAGCACGATAATAGTCTCTTTTTGAATAAATGTCTCCAAGATTATACGGTTAATGGATTCAGATTTAAATAACTCAACGTCTTTTCATGGCTATTTCTTCGAAGTATTTACCACATTATCTGCCAATGCAATTGGATTGAAAGAAAAAAACGATTTCACTTTCATCTCCCTGTGAAAGAATATTAATTTCGTAGCTAGTTAAACAAACACTTTTCACCTTTAGTCAACTGTTTAAGATTTTAGTGAGATTGAATTTCGAAACGTTTGACTTTTAGGGGGACGTCACACATTAACTTCTGATGTTATTGATTTATTGCTTTCATAATACAGTGTACTCGAAGTTATTGAGACGCGAAGCCCATTTGTCATAAATTTACCGATTCAAGTACAACCGACAGAAATGTGAATCAAACTGGAAATAAAGATGGCAAATACTAATATATTAGATATTTCGAAGTCAAAATATTAAATTTTCACTGTTTATTTTCGACATTGGAAGGGAAAATTCACTTTACCGTTTGTTCCGGTTCACGAAATCTATTACTCTATTCAGTATATGGTAGGTGAGATATTGCGGTACCATGGGCACATAATGACTCAGCTTCTACTCTAACTATCGAAGTATGAAGAACATGGAATTGGCCAACGGCCTTGACGTACATCGTTTCGCCTTCTATTCACCGTCCGTATTGCCCTCCACCTTTCCTCCACATTTTTTCCCCTATCAGTCGTTCTTAATTATCCGATAAAATTGTTTTCCTTTCCAGTTCTCTATCTCTGAGTGGGAAATTCGCCTGACTTGACCCAGATTAAGAGCACTTTAATGCAACGGCCGGTGTTTTGACTTTAATAGATATTTCTATAAATGCGAGAAGGAAACTAATTTTATTTAAATAAAGCTTTTGCAATTCGTAATATTTATTAATAGTAAATGATAGGCATCATGATAGTTACCATTAACAATATTAGTTGACTTCAAGCTTCACATAGGGGACGAACATCAAAGTCACAAAAATTGAGGGGCGAGGAAGGGAACAGAAGAGTGACATTAAGATAGAGAAACAGGTAAGGTGATCACCGTGGAAGTGATCGAATATGTCATACATTCGGGTCAAGGTAGTTTGAAGTCAACTTCCAGTTCATAGACTTTTTTACCGAATGAGTATATTAATAACAAGGCGTACATGTTTTAAAATACATAGAAGTATTACCTCTTTCAGCCTAAGTTACTTCGTGTTGAAGCTGAACTACTAGTTGGGTTTACTTAACTTTCCCTGAATTCATCGTCAAGAGGATACGTAGATTGTGCAGTGAAAATTAGCGTGAATTTGCACCGGTAAACTTTACGCGCATTATGAACGGCAGGACGATAAAATTTGTGGCAAACAAGGGCGCAGTCCCCGTGGGGCAAGCATTTGCCATTAGGCGGCAACAACACACGACTTGGGTTGAGGGAAGATTTTATGCAGCTGTACTTTCTGCGAAATTCGTATTCCACCTCAAGACAATTAAACAGTCTCCTTAATTGTGGTGTCAAAGATAACTGGTCTTTGCCATTATCTTGACCTATTTTCGCCGTGTTTTATCAACTCCGTTTACCGATGAAATTGAAATTAATTTCTAAAGCGAGAACTCCTGGCTCTACTTAGACTATGTGAACTTACTTTTACTTATTTTTTTAATTATAACATTTTAAAGACTCAGTTTACACACCATAACATCAAATTGACACCAAATATTATAGCAAATGAAAACAATAGCATCGTGCCCCCTGAGTGTTAGTTGAGCATAATGGTCAACTAAACCCTGCAAACACTTGCGATATGATTCATTGACACCCGAAAGGAAGTGCTGTAAACTGTTAGAAGACGGTTAGTTGCATGTAGTAAATAAATGTAAACATTCAATTGGCAAGCGACAGACACCAAATCTGCCCCACCCAATGAGCAAAAAACTTCGCTGTAATATTATTGCTCTTAATTATTAACCAGAACACGTGAATATCAGTAATAATAAATTACGAAGTTTATCTAAATCTGGCATCCACTGCAACTACTTGGCGGTCACTGACAAATTTGCCATATGGCTCTGTGGCATCCGGCGGTAAAGTTGCAAGATAGAAGGGTGTATCGGCGCCTAAAATAAAGAGGAAAACCATAAAAATATACTGCTAACAAGAACGTAACTTACGGTAAATACTTACCCTCAAGAATAGTTTTTTCACCACGGTGACTAGACATGTCAGTATTAACGTAACCAGGACAGCACTAGAGAAATAGTAAAGACATATCTATTTGTGTTATTCGAAGTTGGCAAGAATAACAACAATGAGAACCAACGGAGTTTATAAGAATATGCCTAGGGTCAGATTTGTATTGTGCCGCCAAAAGTTCCGTAGCTCTCCAAACTCCAAGCTTTGACATACCGTAAGCTGAATTTGGGAATCCTTTTTTCTGGTGTTCTCCGGCCTCGGCGTACCTTTACAAATAATGAAAAACGACGCTAAACTGATTACAGACGTAGAAAAAGAATGGTGATGTATAATAAACACACCTAATGAATTTATTCATAAGATCGGTCAGTTCTTGAAGGTTTGAAGTCTCCAAAAATTTGAGAGCTACTCCTTCTGTCAGTGTATTGAATGATCTTTGTGCCACTATGCTCGCAATATTAACAAGTCTTTAAAAAAAATAATCACAACTTATAAGTTTACCTAGAACCCTTCGCCATTATTGGAAGAAAATCTAAACACATCTCCACAGTAGCTGTGTAGTTCGTAGCTATAGTGACTCTAGCTTGTTCGCCAAAAGGTGCTGTTGAATTCGACTAAAATGTCAAACACTAATTAGTCAAAAATACCTTGTAGGCGATTCCTGCATTATTGACAAGAATATCAAGTCCATTAGGATACTCCTTTTTAATGAACTCAACCAATGCATGTCGACTGTCTTTATCAGTAATATCCAGCTGATGAAACTTCACCTCGAGCCCCTGATCACGAAAACGTTTCACGGCTTCCTCACCCGCTTCCACATTTCGGGCTGTTAGGTAAACATGCCACTCTTTAGGGTCCAAGTGCTTGGCTAATAATTCAACAATACCATTTCCGACACCCTTATTTGAACCAGTAACCTAAAGTTGAACGGTTAAATCAAATTGCCCAAAAGCGAATTATAAGAAGCTTAAAATTGTAGATCAACATCAATTCACATTTACATGAAATTTTACATCAAATTTCAGTAATAAATACGAATACTTACAACAGCAACACGCATATTCCAAAGAAATTTTGCCACCGACGATTTATATACGGCCCAATTCAGCGCGTTTATTTTGCCTTGATATTGGATCATTAAAAAGAATTAGTTAAAAGGTCAATAATCTCAATATATCGACATAATTACAATTATACACTTGGGTATATAAAATAACCTAAGTTGAATAAGTTAGACCATGAAAATATATCGTAAATGTAAATTTTCTTAAACTCATTAATTATATCAGTTGTGGAAAATGTAATCCGCACTTCCACCATAATTGAAATGTATTCAATTTAGAATTAAAAAGTGTCCGATTGCAAAGACTGAAATGCGACAAGTCATAGTTCCCACTAATTAAGTTGTAAACCATTTATGCGTTAGGAATCTAAATTTCAGCCTAAATTGATCATTCACAATTTAATGGCCTATTTTAATAATAATTATCATTCCTAGTTTGAAAGTCAATTTTTGATTAGAATTTTGCAAAACTAGTTATAATAAAATATTCACTACTCTGTGTTGATTAGAACATAAGTACAGAAATAAAAACTTTAGCATTGAAAACATTTTCGGAGTATCACGGAGTCAAGGTTCAACATCATTTTAATTGTTCTACTGCTATTTGATCAGGCAAATACAGTCTGCTAAGCGAAAACAATCTTACATTTTTACTACTGCAATAACTTTTGGTGAAATTTTAGACATTTTCCTTATTGAAAAATATACCACAAGTTTCCAGGAAGTCTTTGGTAGAAGGGAAGAAGTATTAAGATTCAACTAAAGTTCAGTCTTATACATATAAGTCAAGTAGAAACAATTTACTATTTGACAAATTCACTGGCCATCAAGTATTTTCATGTTTGCTGTCTTGCATAATTATTTATGTTTAAATCTGAAGCTTGCCATCATAGGCCTTCCATATATTTCCCATGTAGACGGGCTTCATTTTAGTTTCGCGGACTATTTTGTAAATAAGCTGAACTTATCGTTTATAGACTGCCTGCTTGATCTAACGCGCTTCATTTAATCCATATATTACAGTATAATCAACTAACTCTAATTAACAATGTAATTTTAAATGACCTCACGACAGGTTTAAATGTTTATTTATATTAAATGGCAGGCGTTTTGATAGTTTTCATTAGCCCCTTTAGTTGACTTCATGCATCACAGAGGGGAAGGAACATTGAAGTGAAAAAAGTCGAGAAGGGGGGACATAAGAGTGTTTCAAAGATGTTAAAGAGACAAACACAAAGGTAGAAAAAAGGTGGGATGAGAACTGCGGAAGAAGTCGAATATGACATGCGGTGAGTGATGGTAGCTTGAAGTCAGAAGTTAACTGCCGGTTAATAGACTTTATTGCCGTATGAGTATATGTTGCCCAGTGTGTACCACGTGGAGGTTAATCTATCACACACCCTTAGGTTTAAATATATATTTCAAATGGCAGGCTTTATGATATTAATCATTAGCCCCTTATTTTTCTCCGGTTTTCACAAGGGGAGAGCATATATCTCTGTGTTTCCGTTGTTGTTTTAAGGGCTGGACATCGAATCAGGTGGGACTTCTCCGTTTCCTCCTCTAGGTCACATAGGGGGCATGTTGGTTGAGTGTATACTCCTAATCTGTGATGGTGCTTCACCAGGCAATCGTGTCCGGTACGTAGTCTAAACTCACCAACGGCTTCGATTCTTGGCCAGTCGGCTATGTCGGAGAGTGCAAATGCCCACTTTTTCTCCTTTATTCGAGCTTTAAGTTCGTTGCACCTTGAGCTCTTGAATTCTCTCCTGATTATGGGCTTCATTGTGTGAAAAGACATCGGCCGGTTTATCCATCAGTGAAGACTTGGAGCCACTGATCTGCAAGATAGTTGACATTGAATTTATCCATGGGAATGCGCAGTAGCTTCTCATACAAGATCAGGGCCTTCTCTTTGATAAGGGAACATATTGTCGTGTTTTCTCCTGTAACCAGGAGGATTGTATCAATGGGTGTTAATTTATCCCTCCAGTAATTATTGGTATTGCCTGGTTGTGTGTTTAAATATACTTCATCTTAAATGTAGAATAATTGAAATTATAAAGGTATATTAAAGAGAGCAGTAGAACTTCTTGCCAAAAAATTAATCTCACGACAGAGTAGTGTATTTATATTACTACCTGAAGTGGTATGAAAAGTTTTAACGTTGTCTAATCACTTAAAAAGAAGTGAATATCTGATACCTTCAATTAACTATAACTTATTCAGAAAATTGGCATAAGCTGGTTAAGTTTGTTAAAAGAATGACTCATTCGACTCCTGAGCGTACGTTCATGCACTACCACATTTTTTCAACGATCAACTCCACTCAGCAAACCCATGTGCGTTGTCAATAACAGGAGCTCTTAAAAATTGGCTTCATCATTTGTAAAATGTCATTATCATATCTTTATTTTATTATCTACATTCAGTTAAAACCCCTTCTTTGATTTCTTGATCAAAATGAATTCAGAGGCATTTCAGGAGAAGATTGAGCGAATGGCCAAAGAATAAAGGATTTGATATCACTCATGAAAAATCAACACTGGTGAAGATTTCTTTAAAGGAACCTTTAATAGTGTAACCCAGAGCAGCTGGTGGAATTAAATGCCGTTGATGAGTAAAAATTGGAGGTTTGTGATCTTTGGCCATTATATCGTTAATTTCACCGGAATCGTCAGCATCTCCAGTGGAGCGGTGGCGATGACCTTGTAAATGGCGTTATAAGCGATGGCAGATAAGTTTTAAAAAACTGCAAATAATTGAAGAATTTGAGCAGGTAATGAAATTATTAGCCAAACAACAATATTATTAGATTATTAAGATTATTTTAATCCTTATGTATTCACGGAATTATAGCCGTGAGAAAGCAGATTTAACAATTTTCCCAATTGGACTAATAAATGCTGGTTTATAAAGAGTATAAAGTATTCTAACAAATTAGTACAAATTCGATCCTAGACGAATTTGCAGTAATACAGTAAGTTCAGTTAAAGCAAGTTTACTCTTTACTTTGGGCGTAGTTCCGGTTAAGTTTATACAGATGTGCCGGCGAATTAAGGCACAGGAACTGGTTCGGCTATTAGTTTTTATTTATGCATTTGTATCTCTTAATCCTGATGGTTGTGGAGTGCTCAACGCCATCATAGCTGAACAAAGAAATCTCATGCCCACTCACACAGACTGTGGCTGTGCTACTTATCGCATATTGAGGGCAGGGACATTTCAGCCAGCCACCAATCAATAGTCCCTGCGTCGCTTAACAAATCTTTATTCCTATCGTAATGACTAAGCTGTGACAGACACTTCCCAAATAATTGTTTTCCTCGCCGTAGGCCCGTCTCCTCTATATTGTTGAGGAGATCTTGCCATAGAGATTACTAAGGATTAGTCAATGCTAGCTCATGTAACAATCCGCTACAGCGCACAGAACTCTTATTGGATGAAACCAGAATTAATTTATATTTGTATTATCTCTCCAAAGACTAAGCACGAAAACAATTGAATATGCTTTTCAGCAAAGATGCATTTGCCCTTAGGGATGAATATCGATAAAAGGTAGAAGATCGTGTTGTTTGTTGTCTTAGTCGATTTTGTGAGAAAATATATGAATGGACTTTCTGCAAGAGCGCATCTCGAAAATGAGTCCTCTCGCTGCTATATTAATAGCTATTCCGTGAAAACAGACAGCTTGTCTCATTTCGGGAGCAAACGAAAAGCAGAACGAGTTTCCAAAACATTTTTCAGCTGAAAATCCGATGTGTCTAACAAGTTAATTCAATTCAAGTTCATAAATAGCTGTCCGAAGGAACAGTGAGGTAACAGATAGGCTCATTAAAACCATAGTCAAGTGATATTTAACCGGGGAAATTGAGATAAATGTCCTTTCATTCAATCTTTGTATTTGAGTTAACGGTGCCGTATTCATTGATCTGCATAACTACAGCCAAAGCTCTGCTTCCACTTCTTGAAGGACATTCGCTTCTCTTCTTATTATGGTATTCGCTACCATTAAGCCCAAGCGTACTTCCATAGAGCCACGGGTCACAAAGACCACAGCAATGCCCACGCAACATAAGTCCATTACTGCTATTAGAAATTAAAATCCCAAAATCAGTACAGTGCTTTTGTACTAAACTCGTGATAAATAGCGAGATTCATTGCAAACTCGGATTCATTAAATTAAAAAATAATCAGTAGAGGATTTGAATTTACATAGTGCATAAACCAAGTTTATTTAACACAATGCGAAAGCACGTGCAAAGATTTCTCCTCATATAACGTTCGATAAAGTGGGTTACAGATTGGCGTGTCTTATTTAAATTAGTTCATGGCCTTGAAATAAATATTACTTAAATACCAAGTAAAAAGAAAAGTATATAGCGGCGCCTATTCCATTCGACTTATACCACGGTTTGCCGTCTGTGGTAAATATTAAGAAAGTGAGGACCAAAGTTATACTGAAACGAATCAAGTAGTAATTTTTGTTCATAGTAAAAGCTATAGGTAAAATCAATGACTTCAGGAATGTAAGGAAATCGCCATTTATAAATTAAAAAAAAACATTAAAAAAGACAGAATATATTAGAGTATAGCGTTCCTTTCATTCACCGAACGGATTGAGTTTGGCAAACGAAGAGACCGATTGAAATCATTATGATGCCAATACAACCTGAAAAAGGACAAGTTATTAAAACACAAAGTGGGGGGTTCAACATATGTTATTTATTAAATTTAATTACTATTAGAAGGAAGGTTTCTACTAACTGAAAAGCATCACCTTTTCTAATTGCATTTATTAATCAATCGTTCGTGCTAGTGTAAAAAATAATGACAAGTAGAGACAGCTATTTTTAGACCCGAATAATCAAGAAAATTTTGAGGTTCACGCAAATGTGTCTCGAAAAAAATATGCGGCTACTATTGAAAGGCCGGGAATAGTATTTATACAATGAAACTTGTACAGAAACGGTCACTCGGAAAACATAGAAAAGGCCCAGCAACATAAATCAAAGACAAAACAAAGAAGAAAATTTAAATAACCTTACTTGTTAGATTGAGATATTCCTTATAGAAAACACGAGCAGTAATAGCGGCGACAATTAGTGCCAGAGAATTACTTAAAGGAACTTGACTAGAAAGACCTAAAGAATTCACGCATTCAAAGCTTTCTTACTGGCATCCTTTAAGTTAAAGAAAAATAGTAGAGACCCGAGTTGATTTAGGAGAAAGTATACTGGTAATGCTATTGGCTTTGCATATTTCATGAAGACATTCGTCACACCCCAAATTATACCTGTCAATACGCTTATCACCAACGGTGACATTGTATTATGTAACACCATATATCCTCAAAGTATAAACCGCATCAAATACACGGTTTTAGAGTGCACCTCAAAAAGAAACGAAATGAGAAATAAGGTTTGATAACGGGCTGAAAAATAGAACGCCTCTACCATTTATGGCACCCAATCAAGAGCTAGCTGCAAATACATGGACCAATGGTAATGAAGCTAGCCTATAAAAGGTTATTAATAGGGCCTGTGTATGCAACCACAAATTCAATTATTATTTGCAGCCACCCTATAAGTGCGTGTACGTCCGATTGTCCCCTATATGTACATTAGATGGTAAATTTTCTATCTAGCCTTCAAGTCTCTGGGTAACAGATAAAATTGAACCAGTATAAGTTGTTTGAAAATATTTACGAAATTGTCAAACTTTATTTTACATATCACAAATTTTTTCCATTTAAATTTCTGAATAATTTAACATAAAACAAGACCGTGGCATTGGTTTGGCTACTAACCACAAAATTTATTTTTAATTCAGAATTATAATCAGTCTTGCGAAAAGACATTTTCTCTTATCATAGAACATATCTTGAGAGGATTCGAACAACAAATTTATTAAAAATGTATAACCTTATTGTTTCAATATTAGTTGTAAAGTCTGCAGGTGTGCATTTAGTTTGGTCTTGATATATACGGTTTCATGTCATTTATATGCCAGCAACTTCACCTTTTTAATTTTGATCCTATTTGATCCTATTTTAAGTATCAACTTTTCAACAAACCTTAAAGTATTATCACTCTGCAGTGCAAGGAAAGTTCACAGGCCAAAAGTCATTTACGGTCACTTTTTCATGAATTCATGCATCTGTGCAGCGATTATATTATGCTTATATTTTATAACTTTAAGAACATTTATCAACGAACATCTTCTCTGGGACGATTACAGCGTATTAATGGCATTATTTGCCCAAAATTCCTAAAGTCGTCATACAAATTAGTTTACTTATTTGGCCAAAATATTTATGTAACCTGGCATGATTTTGTGTTGAAATTAGATTCGTGAGAATAATTTCAATAACTTAACTTAAAATTAAACGAAAAATATATTTTGACTGGTTTTCGACAGATTTCCATTTTGTTATGTATTTTGAATCAATTAATCAATAAAGCATAGATTTAAATAATTATATGACTGTTTAGAATTTTTAGTCCTCTCATTTTTAGGAATTACGTGGACATTTGTTGAAAGTGACATAAGTTCTTAAAAACGCTTTCGAGGTGGTGAAACCGCGCGCGTTTAGGTTTCACTGTCTCCCGTTTATCGAGTTCTAGGGATGCGCATTGCGGTTGTAAGTATTTTCATAGTTTTCATCAAAATTAAACTAATATACGATGCTGTACTATTCATATAAAGTATTCTAATTTTTGTAATGAAAATCAATAAAGAATTCTTAATTAAATAATTTTTTAAATTTTAGGTTACGGGTTCAAACAAGGGCATAGGGAACGGAATCGTGGAACTTTTGTCCAGACATTTCGATTCTTCTGAATGGCACGTTTTTTTGACGGCTAGAAATGTTAAATTGGGCGAGGAGGCGGTGATGAAGTTCAAAGAACAAGGTCTTAGTATAAAATTCCACCAATTAAATATTACCAACAAAGAAAGTCGTCGCAAACTATTAGATTTTGTAAAGAAAGAATACCCTAATGGCCTTGATATTTTGGTTAACAATGCGGGAATATATAAGGTAATTTAGGTTATATTTATTATTTCCTTTTAGCCTGATCCCTCTTCACCTTCTGGTGAACAGGCTAAAGTTACCATAGAAACGAATTACACTGCCACTGTGGATATGTGTCTAGATTTTTTGCCAGTAATGGCGAAGAATTCAAAGTAAGACTAACTTATGTTATTTTGTACTTTCTCAAAGGCTCATTAATGTTGCTAGCATTCTTGCTCAGGAGACATTTAATGAAATGTCTGAAGAAATGGCTAAAAAATTCATGAATGCTAAGACTTTGAAAGAAGTGGACGACCTGATTGCGAAATACGTTAAGTAAGATTAGAATATATTAGTTTATGTTTGCCTTCTTTGTCTTTAATCTTCCATATTTCTTTAGGCTTGCTGAAGCTGGTGATCATAAAAAGGAGGGCTTCGGAAGTTCGGCTTATGGAATGTCCAAAGTGGGTTTATGGAAAGCAACTGAAATTTTTGCCGAACAATATAAACTTGATCCTCGTCACATTCTTATCAATTCAGTAAGCCCCGCTAATATTTGTCTTTTGGTTAATTAAAATGTTCCTTAATAACTAACTCCGCCTATTAAAGTGTTGTCCAGGTTATGTAAACACTGATTTGAATGACCACAAGGGAACAAAGACTATTCTTGAGGGTATGTAGTGTTAATTGTAATCCTATTTCAATTATAAATATATAAAAATTTTCCACGGACTGTTTTTTCCTTACAGGAGCTGATACGCCGTTTTACCTTGCCACTTTACCTGATGATGCTACTGAGCCCTATGGAGAATTTATAAGTGAACGAAAAGTTGTCAAGATTGACGCAAAATACAGATAAATCGGATATTTTAGCTTGACAGTTGGTATTCGTGTTTGCTTCCTTAATGAATTTATTTGCTCCTATGGTGTGTTTTCATTAATAAATGTGATAGGCATAGTTCGTAGTTCTTATTAACTATATTGCCAGAGAAATACAAGAGAATAATTCAATTCATGTGGATTATTTTTTCAATAATTACATTGAGATATCTGAAGGGCACAACTTTCTAAGTTAGTGAGTGTTGATAGTTCGGACACTTGCTTTGGACATGGGGATGGTGTCTTAGCGCTTCGTGTTTACTGCCAATGTGGTTAGCCATTACCATCATTTACCATACCCCAATGGGCAGGAATCTCGTAACCTCTGCAAATGTCCTTTTTAAATCTAGGTTAGTAAGTAATTAGTTGGGTGTACGGGGTGATGAGGGAGGATCATTATCGACATTGTGTCATAGTAAAATAATATCGATAGTTCCCTACATACCTTTTTGATTGTAAAACGTTCTGAGATATTCGTAAGTTAAAAAAGGACCAACTTTTTCTTCAAATTAATTTTCTTACATTATCAATTATTAACTAATTAAATCGCGCTCAAAACTGTGTGGTGAATACAGTTTCTGACGCACTCCTGTGTATGGAGTACCAATGCAGTGCATCCCTTGTTATAGTTGATGACTAAGCAATGTGAATGTTCGTCAGATTTTAAATAAAAGCTGTTTACATTGTGTTCGATGCACTGCGATACACCTTAGTTAATTTTTGGATCAGTTTCATACTAGCGATTCTTTGCCAGAAGTTAATTGTATTGGTGTGCATCTAGTTGGAGTTACCAGAGGAATAACAGAATTTAGGGTTTATTTGTACAGTATCCTTTGAAAAAATACGTGCAAATTAGTCATACAAGCATCATATCGATCTACCTTCTAGAATTTTTCTAATATTTTGGCATCTTCCACAAATGCATAGATCTAATTATCTACGCAATTTTCTAATTAACCCAATACATAACATTAAGTGGTGTAGTTGAAAATGCATCTTGGTCACTAACATTCGAAATATAGAACCCTAGGTCGAAACACGGCCTCCATGTGCAAAATTTACTTATTTGATTTCAGTGGATTAGGGATTTTCTATTGCATATTTGACCGATTTTTTCTGGAGGAAACGTATAGTGTACGTGAACATTTAATTCCAAATCTGAAGGCTAAGTTTCACAAATGAAATTGTATCTTCACAAAGGAGAAGGGTAATAACTGATACCCTCTTAGCACGTTCATATTCATTAAGGAAAAATAATTTTATCACAAATTAGCTCATTTTGCTCTCAATAGGGCAGATTTTGCAGAATAAAGTATCAAATTGTTATCAATCCAACAACTTTTAATAGCTAATCATAAAAGCGACTTATGTACCAATATGTCGATGATAACACTTGCATTCTCCCAAGTTGTGTTATAGATTAGATGGCAGTTAGAGATTGTCATTTCAATGGCCACTCGAGGAAACAGCACTTGCTTTCGTGCAAGTAAATGCATCGCATTAGTTGGATCACATCACCGCTGGTAGCCTATTTTAAATGATAGGGCTTCAGTGTAAAAAAATACTGATTTAAGATGGAAAGGGCTGGATATAATGTAACGGAATACCAAGGAAGAACTGGATAGAGGGACAGCAGCCTTGTAGCCAGTAAATTGAAGTGGTTCTGTGGAGGTGCAAACTGCACCCAGTTGGAGGTCATTTCCATAGATAGCCATTAGTCAATGTAATTGTTGATAACGGTTCATTGAATTTTATGAGCCCCCCTATTGATCCGTTGGGTCGTTAGCTTACCTTAGTTTTGGTTTACTGCGTCCATCTTTTAAAATTTTAAGCTCTCTTTTATATTCACAGGTGACATGTTCAAATGATGTTGGAAATCGAATAGACGTACTTTTTTGCCAAGCAATGTTAGTCTTCTAAGAGGCATGTTTGTTGCAACTACATTACTAAATGCTGCCCGAAGAAATGAACTATAAGTTCATTAATGTCAAAACTCTTAAAAAGCAGAAAAAAAATTATGACGCATTTGTCAAATAAGTATATATCGATTGAAACCAACTCATTTATTCTGATTTTGATCTATCCATCTTATTCCCCTCTGCATGCGAAAACTAGAGGTCATCCGGAGGAGGGCTTCTCGAAGTAAGCTAGTTTAATGATCAAGGTTGGAGTGTGGAAAAATGGGGATTTTGGGTTAGGAATGCAAACCTGATCCTCGCCACATTCCCATACATTCGACAAGGTCTGCTTGTACTCAGTAACTATCGTTTTTTATCCATTAAAGGGCTGTCATGTGTACCATAACATTGAAATGTCCAGTGATTGGTCCACGAAATCTGTTCATAATGACAAATTGGTAAATTAAATAAAATAATTGCTGACCCTTTAGGGGCAGGATTCACATATATACTGGACGATGGAAAAGAACTCCAATGAGAGATTATTAATGAAAGGGAAGTCGTAAAAGTCAGTATACTATGCAAATAGCTTCACAACTTTTTGTCTTGTGGTATTTATTATTTTTTTGACTTAATAATAAATTGCGAAAATAGTATAAATCTGTCACCACTTATGCGGGTACCGGTGAAGAAAGTTAAGCTCAATTAGTTGTAACATTCGAGGTAAAAAATCATAAATGATTAGTAAGCTATAAGTTCATATAAGTTTCGCTCTTTTAAATATCAACTGCCGATGAGTGCACATGATTGTACTTATAAAAGAGTAATTAGGAATCGATAAATCCTGGCGTTCTTTACTGACGTAAGAACCATTAAACCAATTAATGTTTCGGCAATTTTAATAACCGTTCAAGCTCAGTTGGGATATTTTATGAGTTGACTTAATTCATGTATGGATTTCAATTAATGTTAGGGAATTGATCGTCTTTCCGCCAAAAACAAAAATTTATATCAAATCTAAACGAGATAAAATCCACGAAGGTAACCATTAAGCTTCACAGACATTTCAAATCAATGTAATAGAACTTTAATGTGAGGCTTCTGTTTTTCTAATGTATTTCCTTTCTTCAGTCTGTGCTTTTTGTTTGAAGGACTTGTAGCATGCTCAACCCTGCCATGGCTGAACAAAGAAATCTCATGCGCACTCAGACAGACTTGAAGGTGCGGCCGCACTACATGTCACGTAGGGAACACGTGCGGTCGTGAGCTCAGAGACGTCCGGCCAACCACCAATCAAGGGTCCCTGCATTGTTTAACGAACCCTCCATTGTGCCTTTTATCTGCTAAGCTCTGTGAGTGGCACAAAGCCCAAGTAAATGTGTTTCACGCTGCTGTTGAAGTAGGGTAACTAATCCTGGGAGCCATTTCAAACTAGGAGAATTTGACATAGAGGTTACTAGGCGTATTCTCATACGGCAAAAATAGTCTTTTAACCGGCAGTGGACTTCTCACTTCAAATTACCATCACCCTACAATGTCATATTTGACAACTTCCACAGTAATCACCTCACCTTTTTTCTACCTTAGCCTCTATTTCTTTTACATCTTTGAAACACTCTTCTG